AACTAGCACAGTATGTCCCCAAGTATGTCCCAATTACAGATGTTGACAATGGTGACCTGAGAAAAGGACGGATGATGTTCAGGCTCATCACTGGGCTCCGCTAAAGTGGGAAAGGGCCTATTAGAATAGGCAGAGGTGCTTTCAAAAGCATTTCTGCCCCAAATGGTTAAAATAGGGAAGTTTCAGCACTTAATGAGAGGATTTAATATACAGAAAGCGCGGTTATTGACACTCTCTGAGAGTGGCAGTGAGCGTGGGCTTTCTCATACAGTGGATGTCATCTTTTAAATGCCTATAAAGAGAAGCCATACCCTGTAGATCTCCTGGTTATGTTGCCAAAGACCCACGAGCAGCCTCAGAGTGAGAAGACCGGATTTCTTAACTCCAGCTCCAACACTGACTTGCTGTCTTGCTTTGTGTCCCTGAGCAAATCACCTCTCTGGGTTTTAGTTTCCTCACTTATAAAATTAATTTAAAAAAACTCATCCTTCTTACCTCCCAGAACTATTGGGAGGATCGAATGAGATCATGGCTGAGAAACAGCTTTGAAAAGTACAAAGTATGACACAATGTAACATGTTATTATTGTTATTAAATATGTCTTTACAAAGATATATCTTTATAATTAAATGTGTCATGTCAGTGGGCCACACTTTGCAAGTACCATCTCATTTATCCTCATACCACCCTTTTGGGGATAGAGAAAGGACAGAGGGGTTATTATCACTATTGGAGATGGAGCTGAAGAAATCATAGCACACTGAGATTAGGTGATATGCAGGTGATATGCCCCAGGTCACATAACATAGCCTATCAGGATAAGATTAACATACAGAACTCAGGCCTTTCAGTTCAGCATAATACATTGCTTTCATTTAGTTATGCTACATTTGGGATGTGCCCATGTTCCTGAGTATTGGATCTAGTCAGCAGTTTGTCTGAGGTGGTGATCTGGTGAGACTTTTCCAGAAATGAGCATAAGTACGGCTTATAGCAAGTATGCATAGCACTAGGAGGCAAATTAACTACCCTAGGGGACTATACTTCTATCTAGGGTTCTGTCATCATGTGAACAGTGGCTTGGGTTAGCATAAGTCCACTGTTTAGGCTTTCTTCATGTGAGGATAGCTGAGAATAATAGAGATAAAACAAATAATCTACTTATTTATGCTTTTCATATAAAACTTTGTTTTTAAGTTTTACTTGAGTGGGACAATACTCTTCTACTTTCCATGAATATTTTATTTTACCTTAATTAGCAGTCTTATGTCTCATATATAAGCAAACACATCAGTTATAGCAAGAGTTAAAGGCAAAGCAAACCTCTAAGTACAAATTCAATATCTTTCTCACTAGTTAACTGTTACAAGCTTTGTTTACAGAAACATTAGGTTCAATCATCTTCCTATATTTTTCTCTTTTACCTACTGGCTGTCCCATGCTATTTTCATAGCCCCATATGCCTTTCTTCAACTGTCACTAGACCTCTCCTGTTATCTTTTTATCATTTACTCTCTACTCTCCTGGAAAGACCACTTTTAATTTCTTCCAGTTTAGACCATTCTTGCCCCTGCTGGTTTCAAGACCTAGTTCTTGTTTCACCCCTAATGTTTATCCTGCATGCATATTTTACAACCTGGCTCAACTTCCTTTTTTTTTTTAAGAGGGAGGAAAACATTAAAAAAAATTCTTTTTAAGACCATTAAACTATTCAGAACAAGTTTTGACCAAATTTATGTAATGAATTTGTTACACTAGGACAAAAGCTATCAGACTTCTGTCTTAAGACTGCCTTTGTGTAGGGATCATAGGATCTAGCAAACCTAGAGGATTAGAACTGTCCTCTTGCCTTGCCAGCCTTTGGAAGCTGTGACATCACCAACATTCTGAATCTTCCAACCAATCAGCTTCACAAAGATTCTAAGGAGCCAGGACACTATCACATAGGAGATTTTTTTCCCCCCATGTGTGCCTGGTACATACATAGCAAAGTAAGTGCTTGCCTTGCCAAGGCTCCTGCTCCATGGCTGGAGGTAGTGAGAGGTAGTCAAAAGGCTGAACTAAATGTGATCTTCCTTAAAGTTAAGTCAGTCAACAAACTTGTATTAAGTATTATGCCAGGGACTGACACACAGTAGCTGTCCATAATATTTGCTTCTCAGATCTCACCTCCCTCACTAACCTTTTTGAGATGGATTAGATGAAAGCTGATGGCTTCCACCACCTTGCTTAGACCATGAATGTCCCCAGTCTCTCCAACTTCTTGCACCAATCTGCTCCCTAATTATGTAGTTATCTCTAATTCCCAGCTCCCCTAAATTATACTTATGTTAAACATGGATTAAATCTACTGTCTACCTTTGTCCTGGTGAATGCTTTTATTCTGCTGTCTGTATATCACTTATGTGTTTATGCACATCTGTGTAAATAGTTTTCCATTTTAATCTCCTTGGGAACAGAGACGGTCTATACACAGGGCTTCACACAGTGACATACGCAATTGTGTGTTTAATGAAGTCTTTTGGGCAATGATGAGAATTTAAAAACCAATTTCTTGTTAGATCTGCATTTCAGATCAAAGTACAGACCTTGTCATTTGGCCCATGAACCATCTAATTGAGGTACCCCACTTACTTGGCAGTACCATATCTTAATAATGGAGAAAGAATTCGAGAGGGAATAACAAATGTCTTCAATGCTGAGCTTGCAAACCCAGGATGGCCCCACAGAATGGATAGAGCACTGACCGAGGATTAGGAACCCTGGGTTCAATAGTCCTGGTGTTTCTATTAACTTGCTATATGACCCTGGCAAAGTCACTTCTCCTTTTGTGACTCACTTTCCTTATTTGTAAAATGAGAGTATTAGAAGAGATGATGTCAGAAAATTTGGAACTAAAAATCTTGTGGAAGTGAATGTTGAAAATTAAAAATAAATTAATTTAAAAAAGATTAAAAAAAAAGAGATGATGTCTAAAGTCCCTTGTGCCTTTAAAATTCTAAATGTTTACACCTATGACAGCAAACTTTGTGATGGGCAAATGTTTCCTTCCACTGAGGGATTCAGAGACAGAAACTGAATATCTAGCTCAGCTCAGACATCTGTAGACAACTGGGCCAGAGAGCTGGGATGCCACTTTTTGGATCTTGTCATGCTAAGTTCCATGTAAATGAAACCAAGGAGAGACCTGACCTGGTCAGGAACAAGTTGCAGGCCAGTGTGGTATACCTGAAACACACTGAATTGGGAGGTCTGGCTTAGAATAGTGGCTCTGTCACTGACAACCCGGGTAATCCTGGACAAGTCACTTTTTGTCTCTATGCCTCAGGGTAGGACTACATGATCTCTGGGGGGGTAAAGAAGGTACTAGGCCTGGGGTCAGGAAGACCTGAGTTCCAATCTGGCCTCAGACATAGCTAGTGCTCTGTGACCCTGAGCAAGTCACTTAACCTCTGCTTGCCTCAGTTTCTTCAACTGTAAAATGGGGATTACCACAGTACCTACCTCCCAGGGTTGCTGTGAGGATCAAATGAGAATATTTCTAAGGGCTCAGCATAGTGCCTAGCACATGGTAGGTGCTATAGAAATGCATATTCTTTCCTTCCACTCCACTTACTCTAAAAGTGTTACCTGATAAGGCTGAAATTTTACTCATGGGTATTCATGATAATGATTAATGATAATAATTTTCATTTTTGTAGCACTTTAAAGTTCGTAAAGTACTTATATCAACCTTGGTAATTTTTGTGCAAATATTACGTCATTTTACATTTGGGGAAACCAATGCTTAGAAGGGTGAAGTGACTTGCCTAGATAATAGGTGTCAGAAGACCAAGTCCAACACTTTTAATTTATCAGTCAAGCACTTATAAAGCACCTATTCTGAGCCAGGCACCTAGCTGGCTGCTGGGAATAAAATATGTATTTCTTTTCTCAAAGCTTTTGTGGGGCTCACAAGCCATCATGGATCCTAATGATGAGAGGCAGTTAGAGTGCTGGATTTGGAGTTAAGAACTGGGTCACAGACACTTACCAGCAGTTTGGCCCTGAGCAAATAAATCCCTTGGACTCTCAGTTTCCTCAGCTGTAAAATGGGATAACAATGACATCTATTTCAAAGTATTGTTGTGAGGATTAAAGGAGATAGTGTATTCAAAGTGCTCTGCAAACCGTTAAGGTGCTCTACAAACAAAAGCTAGGATTTGGGACTTGCTGGGTGACTTCTTTTGTATTTGGAATTTCCAGGGAGTAAACACCCTCTACCAACTAAGATCCCCCAGGGTAAGCAATTTGTAGTCTCAGAGAGGTGCTGGGGGGCACTTAGAGATAAGAGACTTGCCCAAGGTTTCACAGCCAGATGTGACAGATGTTCACTGAACCAAGTATTCCTGACTCTGACTCTATCTACGACCTGCAAAGCTCCTTGAGCTCTGATGACGATTATAAGGTGAAAAGACTTCAAATGCCAAAGAGAAGAAAACCTCAATGTGAATTTTTAGTGGGGGAGAAAGTAGCACATTAGCCAACGTTTACCAGCTCGTCTCTGAGCCTCAGTTTTTTCCCCCTCTATGAAACAGAGGTAGTAACACCTGACCTCCCTAACTTACTGGAGTGTTATGAGATAATAGATTCTAAGGCTTGGAAACGTGTCAAGTTCAGTATCTGTGTAAGGGATTGTTATTAAAGGGGATCATAGCACCTGTCCTTCCGGCCTTCCTCACAGGGGAGGGGCATAAAACCCGTAAATGTTCAGGGCTCCCGAGGGGAACCTTGCTGGAGAAGGAGACGTTATTACCGTAACTCCCGCAAAAACCTCCTTTGCTCGCTTTGCTGGAGTACATAGAGAGGCCCCCACGGGGACTGCAGCAAGAAGAAAAACATATTTAATGCAGTTAATTTGTGAAGTTTTTCCCCCCAGAGAGTGCCAGACTCAACTTCCCCCCTGGGCATTTGCTGTTGCAAAGGGCTTTGCCGTTGGTTACTTGGGCATCACCCTCCCCACGACTCCCCTTCCCAAGGGGCAGTTTAGTTCCACCCAGTCCAGGGGGGGAAGACTGCGCGAGCTGGCTCCGGGCCAGCGCCTGTCTGTGCTGGGCTGGGCTGGGCAGCCGGGAGGGAAGACCGTTCCAACTCCCCCTCACTGGAGCCTGTCTCTCTGCAAAGCCAGCCTTTCCCGGGAGCCTGGGTAAGCTAACACTCCCCGCGCCGGAGTGCGGCCGGAGGGTGTGGGGGAGGCGGGCAGGCTGGGCATCTGGGAGCCACTCATCTGCCAGTAACCCCTGGCCCCCCTCTCCCTCCCGCCCACCCAAGGCCTGGACTTGAACCTGCCAGAAGCGGGGGTGTGATAAGAGTCACAGCTCAGGGAGCGAGCTGCCTGCACCGGCATTTTCCGCCCTCTAAAGCAAACAATCAAACAGGAAATTAATCGAGAAACCCACATCCATGCAAGGTTCAGGTTGTGATTTTCACAGCCCTGGAGCCAGGAAATTCAAAGTTTTGGTCCCCATAGCAACCTGAATGTAACCTCATTGACTCTTGAGGCTGGAAAGGGACTTGGAGAGGTCAACGTGGCCAATCCCCCGGGCTCCAGACAAAACAATAGCATCGAAAATACCCTGCCTGCTATTGTGGGATATGGATATGGTCCCTTTCAGATATCTGTGTAGTAAAGCCTCACTGGTTTTGGGGTAAGAAGACCTGGGTAGTAAAGCAGTATCAGACTCAGGCAGAAGACCTGGGGTCTGGAGTTAGTGAAGCTAGGTGACCTCTCTTTAACCTGCGTTTCCTCACCTGTGAAATAAGGAATCTAGGTGGCAAAGTAGATAGAGTCCTGTACCTAGAATAAGAATGACCCAGGTTCAAATCCTACCTCAGCGACTAAAGAGAGACTAGGTAAATCACCTAACCTTGGTTTACCTCAGTTTCCCCATTTGCTAAATGGGGATAATAATAGCACCTACCTCCCAGGGTTACTGTGAGGATAAAATGAGATATTTGTAAAGAACTTTGCAAACCTTTAAGTACATGTGAATGCTAGTTAATATTATTATTAACATCATCATCCTGTCTATGACCTTACAGGGCTATTGTAAAGCTCTAGGGAGAAAATGAACGTGAAAGTGTTTTGTTAACTGTGAAACTATATAAAAAATATGAAGAATGATTATTAAGCCATCATTTAAAATGTGAACTTGTGCCCTTATTTGGCATGTCACACTATAACAACACAGTGCAAAGAATACTGAGCAAATTCTACCTGTCCAAATCCTGTCCTTCTTTGAGGCCTACGTCATTTTCTGATGAATGAATCCTTCCTTACCAACTTCAAACTACATTCATCTCCAATTCCTGTTGTATCTTTTGAGGGTCTGTATCATTACATATCAACTATTTCTCTATTTTCAACTATGTCTTGCCTCCCCAATTAAAATGCAGACTCTTTATCTTCTTGTCTAACCATTCACGCCAAAAGGCCTTGCGCACAGTAAGTGCCCAATTCCTAATAATAACAATGACCAACATTTATTGTGGTCCAGACCAAGGATTTCATTTGGTGTGGAGCACTGATGTCAAACTCCAATAAGAAATGGGGTGGCTAAAACTGTGTATAGTGAAGTTGGGGGCATTTCAATTAGAAAACCACATATGAACATTATCTGTGTTCTATTGTGTTTTGACTTATTTTGTTAAATATTTCCCAACTATATTTCCATCTGGTTCTGAGAACCAGAGTGTGAAAATCTGCGCCTTCCCCCTGCAGATTCCATCTATAACTTAGTCTTAAGAGAGTGGCTTTTGGGTGGCTAAATGAATTACTCATGGTCACACAGCCAGTATTCATCAGAGACAGGCTGTGAACCTGTCTTTCTGACTCCATGGAGGCCCAAACTTCTTGACGTTCATATAGCGCTCTCCCTACACAATCTCATTTGATTGTCACAAGACACTTATTATAGACAGATCTGTTGACTGACTGGAGATTAATAATCATACAGAAAGAAAAGCATTTCAAGGGTTTGTGTGTTGTGGGTATAGGGTCTGAGTGTGTGTGTGTGTGTGTGTGTGTAAGCCCAGGAGTCCCCTTAGCCTGGCAGGAAAGGAGATAAGAATGAGTTGGAGCCCTACCCAAGAAGGAAACAAACCGGATCCTTCCCCACAAGTCACCCTGTCTTTCCATAAGAGATGGGCAGATAGCTGGCGGGCCTGGAGGCCAATATCACAGGGGTGGCCAGCCTATGGTGGCCCAGCTGAGACAGAGATGGGGAGCTGGAGAGGCGTGTGGGGCCCTGGGGAGAGGGGAGGGAGAGCTTCCCCCTTGCCCCTGGAGCCAGCTCCCTCACATTGAGCAAACCAGTGGAAAGAGAGCAGAGACGCGCCTGCTGGAAAGCAGACAAAGAGTCTACTTTATTTCCTAACAGGCCAAGCCACATGCCAGAATCTGACAGACCCGTCATCTAATACCCAGCCTTTGTTGCAAAAGAGTTCTTTCCTCTTTTGGGGCAGGCTCCCTGGGGTTGATGAGCGAGCAGCTCTCACGGCGGCCAGGAGACACTTCCAACGCACTTGTCTGGGTCTCAGCAGGGACACTTGACAAGTCACAAGAGAGCTAGCATGGTGCAAGAAGGAGGCTGGATTTGGAGTCGGGGACCCTGGGTTCGAATTACTGTTCTGTACGTACTACCTGTGTGACCTGGGACAAACTGTTTAACCTCTCTGGGCCTCAGTTACCTTACTGGTAACATGAAGGAGTTGGACTGAGATCCTTTCTAACTCCAAATCTATGATCCCATCCATCATCTTTTCCCTGCCTCTCATATTACAGAGGAGGAAACTGTGGCCCAGAGGAATAGTCCGTTGCCTGGAAGTCACATAGCTAGTTAGTGGCAGAATCAGGACAAAGAACTAGGTCTCTGGACTCCCAGCCCAGTACTCATTCTACCACCAAACATGGCTTCCTCCTTCCTTTCTGTAAATGATTATACCATTTAGACAGAGGTGGGCTCTTTAGGCATCCTGAGTCTGGCTTTGGCAGTCAATTACTTCTTTTCATCAACAGCAAAGCACAACCCTCATTAGAAAGGAGACAGGGCTTATAGAGAGGTAGAAAAGGTGGAGAGAAGGTGAAAGAAAGCCACTTTTCCCTGAATTTTTAGATACAAGTGTTAGCAGAAGCAGCTGTAGCAAAGATTCCCCTTCCCTCCACCCCCAGATCAAGAAACCCAAATCCACCAGGCCACTCAGTTATCTAACCAGGAACAAAATGAGCATTCCATTCCACCCTTCTAGCCTACCACACCACTTAGTTGCTCAGGGCAAGTGATTATCTGCAAGGATGCCTTAATCCTTTCCTTTTCTATTGTTTTTGGGAATAACCTTCATATACCATTCTTCATGTTCTATTGAAATCCAGCCACATTTCCCTTCTAGACACAACAGTAAGACCGCCTACTACTTTCACATCTGTAATGTTAAGGAGTGAATGGAGGCGGGGGAGGCTTCAGGAGACTGGAAGTGTCAGAGGTCTGGTATCCCGGCTTATCAAAGGGGTGCCCAGAATTCCGGGTATGACTGCTCTGATAAAACCTGCACATATTTGTTTACACCATGTTATACTTTGCTTGATAGTTAAAAATCTAGGAAAGATCAAGGGGCTTCAGAGGGAAGAGATGCATATTAAAATGCAGAAGCAAGGGGCAGTGATGCCTTTTTTAGTTCAGCTAGCATATAAGAACAGGAACAACTGAGCAGAGTTAGTGTTTAAAGAATAACAGGGAAGGTAATTAGTACTTGTACCCCAAAGAGCAACTGCCAATAATAAGGGGCAAAACAGAAGGCTGTGAAAAGTGCCTAAAGCAGCCTGTGGGAGATACAAAGGATTAGCTAAATATTGTTTGCTAAAAGTTAGTTTGGAGATAAGGGTTTTTAATAGGTACTTAGACGTTTATTTTCCTTTGTAACCTCAGCTCTTAGTGGGTGTGATGTTTTCCAAATAAAGATGATATTTTTGCCTGAAAATGCATGGGTGCAAGGTGTGATATGACAAAGGCCACTCTTTGAATAAGATGCTAGGATATGTATGCTGGGTACCCCAAGAGAGAATGCCCCCCTATTCTGTAAAGCTGATAACCCCTGAGATCTTTCAAAAATAGGAGAGGTCTTTCCTGACTTCAGCCATTCCCATCTCTAGAAGAGAACATGGCCCTGGTCCTGGGATTTCTAGATTCAGATTCTACTCGCCAGCTCTGATTAGACTTAGTGTTTTTAAATCATTCAAACTCTCTGCATCTGTAGTTATGTGGATCGAGGAATAACATTTTGATGAAATGTTTGAAGATCTTTGGGTGAAGATGGACCAGGAGTAGAGACCAAATTTTTGTTGACTGATAAGAATTTTTTTGTTAATTGATCATTGAAAGAGAGGCAATGTACATCAATAAGCTAAACAACTCTGGGGTCAGAGACTCTTATTCCTGGTTGTTCCTCTAATTTAGGGCCACTAGGTGGCGCCATAGTGCCTAGAGCTCAGGGCCTGGAAACAGGAAGACTCATCTTCCTGAGTTCAAATCTGATCTCAGGCACATACTAGATGTGTGACCCTGGCACGTCACTTAACCCTGGTTGCCTCAGTTTTCTCATCTGTAAAATGGGCTGGAGAAGGAAACAGCAAACCACCCCAATACCTCTTCTAAGGAAACCACAAATGGAGTCACGAAGAGTCAGACGTGATTGAACAACAACCCTCTAATTAGCTGAAGGGGTAAATCTGCACATACAAAGAATAGCTATATACTAAATCAATATACAAAAAAGCACTAGGTTTAGTGTCTAAGGATTTGAGTTCAAACTCCAGTTCTGTTGCTTACCACCTATGTAACCTTGGGAAAGTCATTCAACCCTTCTAGGTGTCAGTTTCATCTATAACAAGGGAAGAAGCTCTGACTCAGTGACCCCAGGGGTCTCTTCTAGCATTAAATAAGATGATTCTATCATCCTCTGTGAAGTATGACTAAAGTCATGAGACCAATTCTATAAGCCACAATATACATTATTCTTACATATGTAAATATATGTAGATGCCTACATACGTAATATACATGTATCTATTTGCAGCAAAATGTTGCCTTGGCCAACAATATTACAATCCCTTCCCCCATTATACTATGAATCTGCACATTAACATACGGA